TTTTTTTTTTTTTCTAGTTGTACTTTTGTTGAAAGAATGTTTTTAATCTTTACCACAAAAATCGTTCTCCAGACAACTGTGCAACACCTCTCCTCGGTAGCCTACTTAAAATTCCTCACTACCAATGCACGTTCAATTTCGATCAAAGGATGATATATAAATTTTTGAGGTCGATACAGGAAAGAGGATACTCGTTGATAAATTGTCACCGTACACGGATCTCATTTCGCCGGTGAAAATTTCTTACTGCTGACCTCGGTTCACCGCGTGATTCCATTCGGAATACCTAATTAAGTTGAATTGTCTGCGGATTGTTTTTATAATTTATCGCCGTAGGATTTGTAGTCGCGTGCAATGTGAATTCAATTCTAATCAAATTTAAAAGTTGGATAGATTTTGATAGAGAAGCGACGTGCAGCAGGAAACAAACGCTCGTTTAGGTTTCTCGTTTCTCGAGAACGGTACATATTATCATCAAGATCGCAGAAAGCGCAACAGCTGTTTCAATTTTTCATGTACCTGATGTTGGAACATCTGTCGAACTGTTTTAGAAATGAGACTGACCGTGTTATGTCCTACGGCGACCCACATACCTCTTGTGTAATTAAATTAAACAGCCAAGAAACGTAACGAGCACCGTACGATTCTTTTCATGCGTGATAATCACGTCTCGCGGAAATTAATAAACATTCGAAGCACGACCAATTTACGGGAATACCATAAAATCGCTCTTGTTTCGATCGCGAGCTACATGATTCGTCGCGTGTGAAAAAAAATCACTCAAACTGCATACAGCGACTCAGGAGTTATTCGAACATTAGTAAAGAAATTTTACAGCAAAAGAACAGATTTTCTATTTATAAAGAAACAGTTTTAAAATTCAGAAACATTCAATTAATACTACGTTATCAAATTTTTCTTTTCAGTTAGCCCTGGACCAACGTTTACCTCAATTTTATTTGCAACTCTTCGGTGGAATTGTATTATTAAATTCCATTTTTTGATATTGAAGTTGTGGAAGGATTCGCTTAATAACTTTTTGTTATTATATCTTCCATCTAGATTATACAATTTTGTGAAATTTCAAAACGTCGTAGTATTTATAATATTATGATTGAAATTATTACTTGCTCCTTAATCATAGTATTAAAATATTGTTTGCCTTAATAATTATACTTTTAGCTTCTATTAAATATCTTCCCTCAGCTAATCGCTCATTTTTAAACGACCTACAACTTTGAATTTAACAGGTTCTTTTCATCTGATTGGTGATTTTCTATGGTGAATGTAAAACTATTTTCATGAGCCACTCTAAATGCACGTCGAAAGATACCGGTTCCTCCATGAACACGCACAAACGCAATCGCGACTTGCCAACTATCTCTTCTCAGTTTGCATTTGAATTATATTTGTCTATGATCTTATTGCCGGTGTTTATAATGTCTGATAATGCGTTGGAAATATCTTTGGAATATTTTTACAATTCACTTCAACAAAACATCCTGTTTTTATTTTAAAAGTGAGAAACATATACCTAGAATTAAACGAATCTTTTCTTAAAAATTTTGCTTAAAATTCATGATGAAAATGTTACGAACTTTTCTAAGAAAACAGTATCATGTATAGTTTTTTAAGAGCATATGCACGAAACAAAATATATAATAGATAATGAAAGAAATTGAATTGAATTCTGTTTCAATGGTTGTGCGAGGAATACTGTGTGAATTACTATTGTTACATCCACATCTATTATTAACTCTATCATTTAATTCAACATATGAATATTTACTTACAGCTAAATAACACTGAAAAATGAAAGATGAAGATAAAAATCTAGTTTTTTCTTAAAGACTAATTTTTCAATGTTCTGTTTCTGTGTTCTAAACGAACCTGAATGAGAACAACGGCTGTGAATTTAATTACAGTAACTCGACGAAATTACGAACATTCAACATTATCGGCAATATGTACACAAATTTTACAATTATCCGAATGAAGAAAATCGGGTTTTCAGCGAGAAAGCGAGTGAATCGAGTACTCACGCTCGAAAATTGCGTACGAGCTGATTTGAATAGTCGTCCGACCAGTCTTTCGAGAGCGACGAGCCAGCACGTGTGAATTCACGCATTTTTCATTCGAGCAAACCGCTTTCGAATAACGTGGAAGATGAAATATCTTCTCGAACAATTAATTCAATTGACTCATTCGGGATAAGCGAATTGCCTCATGATCGGCAATTACTTGTATACATCAGTAATTTCACGAGAAATTCCATTGACGTTTCTTTGCTCGATTATCAACAAAAAAATGCTTTAAAAGCTACCGTTATGTTGATCAGTTCGGATGATAATTTCTATTACATATTATAGAAATATCGACACAATACCAGATACCAATATGCGTCAGATTTTAACGTATCCTAGCACAGAAGAAAAAGGAAAAGAAGAATCAATTTTACAATATGACTCGCGAATAATACTGCAGTCAGATTTTACTCTGGCAAATTTAAGCGCCTCCGCTCGAATCAATCTTAAACTTACCTCCATTTTCATCGTTGCCACCGACTCGATAGATATATCGCAGCGGGAATGGAACACGAAATCGTTCGTTGGACGGGTTTTTCGTCGAACTCAAATTCGATCGATTTATCTCGTAGAGACAGGTGTCTCGTATCTATTATCATGCCGCGCAGTTACGTCACATCTCCTCTTGGATCCTCTGTTTCTTTTCCTTCTGCCGGCTGAAGCGTATAAATTCCCCGTTGGGATCCGCGTCGAGGATCTGAAGTCGCTTTTGATCTCGAATGAAAAATTCGAACCGATCTTCTTTCTCGACGAGCGAGACTCGACCCGGCTTCAACTACGAACAGCAGCACTGAGAGCAGAATTCTCTTTGATCCGTAGCAAGTGGGAAGTAACTCGAGGATCTCGTCGTGGTTCGATCGAGCCTCTTCAGACGATCTCTCTCGAAAGGTCTGCCCGGTACCAGAGAGGATTTCGCGTGATCCACACGGGATGCGTGCACCGCGGTTCGACTCTCGACCACAGCTATAACCAGATTGGTCGAGGGAAAACCCGAGGAGGAGCCGTCCCTGTATTATTACGAGACACTCGCTGGACTTCGGTTTCGAAATTAATCTCTCGAGCACGTTCCGTCTTCTCCCTTTTCAGCCAATTCGCCCCTGTAATTTCCGAGAGTGCGAGCTTATGATCGAAACACGACGAACACCGTCCAACGACTGCCATTTTACCTGCGTGACCTTGTTCTCCGAGCCCCGTTCTCCGAACAAAAGCAACAGAGCCGAACTGCTGCTACAATCTGATACAAATCTCCCTTTTCAGCTTATCATACGTGTAAACACTCTTTCGTAATTTCATTGCGCTCGCTACATGGTGTCGCTATTATTTTCTTCCTTGTTTTTTTTTCCTTTTTTTTTCCTTTTTTCTGAAACGACTAGAACTTGTGGTATATATATTAATTTATTTTCAAATCGTATGCACATCTTTCCTGGTAATATGAATAATAACGATGAACGTTCAATTGTTCATTTAAAGAATATTGTATTATTATTGGCTAATGATTCATACACTTACTTTCCACATATAATCTTCATCTTTTATAATATATTATAATTTTGTTCAAATGCAGTTTTAACCTCTTTAACCTGTTCCTGAAGCTGAACCTATTTACGATTCTTGAATTTCTCCTTCCTGTAGTTTCCTTCAGTTTCTCGACAGTAATCAGACATTACACATCGTACAGAGTATTAGAAGTTAAATCTGACGAAAATTAGTTTCGTTCCTTGTTGCAATACAGTACTATGTATTCTTCTAACGGTAGAACACAACCAGTTTTAAATTTGATTTTACCGCATAAGCGAGCGTATGCGCATCACGCGCGCCACCTGTACTCTTTGATTTTACAGTTTTAAAATTCAAGGCAAATTGTCTATAATTTTTTACGGGAAATTGAACATGATTAAAAAGTCCGATATTTTATGAAATTACGAAAATTGAATTGCATTTAAAACGCAATTGGAAAAGTTCATTTTCCATTTTTGTCATGTATATATTTTTTTCTAAATAATCAATTAGGAAACGGAAACGTTATATATCATTAGGCATTTCCTTTTTAAAGTATTTCATTTTGCAATAATTAACTACTGAATTCGAAATTCGAATAAATTTAGCATTGCCAATAAATAGTATGATATTTATATTTTGCGTTCAACGAGTATACAACTTGAGAAATAATCATATGTATATGTGTGTACACATATTCTGTTATTGCATGAGATTTTATACATGTAAAAAATTACGTACTTTCGATCAATAAATAAATAAGTTTACGATTATATTGTAATTTTTAACTACATACAAATACGTATAAATTCATTTTTCATTTTGATATATTGTCACTCAGTATACTATTTATCTCTTTATTTTATTGTACACATATGTATTTGCATAAAGATCCAATTGTGATGGACTGTATCAAGAAAGAGCACCAGACACAGGTGATAAGTAAAGAACAATTTTCTCCAATCAGTAGTAAGTAATTCAATATTTTTAGTGCCTTACTTTTTTTAGCAGTGCTAAATGATACATATAGAAGACAAGTCATATATTTTATTAAATATACATTAAATATACATTGCAGAACTTTCACAGACAAAATCAATCCAAGGAAGAAATTTAACAGGTTCTGCTCGCCATATACGAGATTTAGTTGCAGATATTCATAACAATATACAAATATGGAATTCATTTCATTTAGAAGGAATAACATTATTGAATAATATAACTCAAGCGAAACAGGATGAGTCATATTCTGAATTTTTGCAAGAACAATGTGATAAATTAGAAATTGTTTGCAAAGAATTGGTAATGTGTCTTTCATATGATTATCTTTTATCTAATATTCTTATTCTAAGAAATGTGTTTTTTATTATAATATATTTTATAGGACAATATTGTGATAAATTTGGCTCAAATTGCGCAACAGATGAAAATAACAGCTGGTTTAGAAACGGACAAGGAAAAATTGTTTGCAACATGGCCAAATTCAAAATTTGGTAAAAATACATAGTTATAGTTTCTCCATGAATAGTAATACAGGTTCATAATTAATTTATTTTATAAGCTTCGTAATTAATTTTAGGACAAGTTGCAGAATCAATATACAGTGCATATTCTAATGAAGCAAAAGTAAAATGTAAAATTTTGGAAGATGTAGCACATTATTATACAGAATCTTGGAAAATGTTGTTCCTTGCTAGCTGGGTGCATCAACCGTTTTTACCAGAAAATCTAACAACAGTTTTGGAATCAATGTTAATAGAGAGTGGACATAGGTAATTAATTATTATTGATGTAAATTTTGGTAAGTATTTTTCTATTTCAAAAATGATTCAATGTTTACAATAATCAATTTTTGTATTATATTATAAGTTATAACTATTGAAATAAAACAAAGATTAACAAAATGATCATTTATTTATGGTTTTTCAAATACCATTTGTATAATTTCACAAAATGGAAAATATGAAATTAAAATATATAGTCACGATCTAAAGTGAAATTTATGAAGTTCTGCTTACAATTGGTATCTGAGATTAATGTGAATATAAACAAATGTATATATTTGTAAATATAAACATATATATTTCTTGAAAATGCAGATCATGCAGATACAGAATATGTATCTTAAAAATACAAATCTGCAGAATTAATACATTTAATGATTAATTATATTCTGATTAGTTATTGTAATATTACTAGAGCCATTAACGTTTAATTATATCAATAACTTCCTATATAATATATACATATTTACAGATAAATAGAAAATTAATAATTTGCACTGTACATACATACTATAACAATATGGATGGAGTTTTTTTTTTATGTTTAAAGTATTTTCGATCATTTAATATTTCATACAAAAGTTATAAACAATTTATTTTAATTTATTATTATTGATAATCTCTGAAGTCATTACATCGCATTTTGAATATTTTGTTATGAAATTATTGATATAATATGAATATGATTTTTATTTTATTAATCGATTAATTAAACATTCAATAATATATGTAGGAAGTTAAAATTGAATCATAAAATAATTGTGCTAAACCATTTTTGTAGTGTTGTAACTAAAAAAATTATAGTATATTTCTATCTCACTACATGATCAATAACTATGAAAAATTATATTTACATAAAATTTCTATATTTATATTTTACGTCGTTACGTAAACACGCATTTCTGATAAGTTTAATTTTTTATTTTCTATTTTATTACGAGTTATCCTTTTTCAAGGAACTAAACTTAAATTGAATATATAGTTTAGAATATAGTACACTGTGTGTATGATTATAAAGACCGTTTACTAAAAATAAAGAATATCCATATATTTTAGTAAAAATTTTTTGAAGACAATACAACAAAGTAAAGCTTCTTTGTGTAATATCCTAACAATGTCAATAAAGCATGACATTATATTTTTCCATATGAAATATACATTATACACAATAAATATAACAGAAACAGTCTTATTTACATACACATATCAGAATACAAGACATTATATTACTTTATCATTGATGTTTTTCACTCAAATTAGAAGTTACAATATATTGATTATGATACTGTCATAAATTCTATAAAAAAATATCTACACCATGAAATGTAATCATGTATATGTAAGTTGTATAAGTTTGATATTAATTATAATATAATGATAATTATTATTAATAATAATATCAAACTTACATAATTATACATGATTACACTTCATAATATGTATATGTATAAACACTATACATATCATTTTAATTTCTTTAGGAACGTTTTTTATGTAATAATCCAAAAATCAACTTCTGGTATTTCTATTAAATTCTTCACTTAATGCTTCAAAATCAAGATCAGTATCTAAATTTGAATTATTTGATATCAAATTGTTTTCTAAAATATTATCTGGCATAATATTTTTCAATCGCTCAGATACAAGTTCATCAACTAAATTCGACTGATCTACTAGATGCAGTTGTTCAACTAATTTTTCATCAATTAATAAATTCTTATCTATTACTCCACTTGTATTTAGAATGTCTAAATGTGCTATATGATCATACTGAGCTATTTTTGTCATATCTAAATTTTCTGAACTGCCAAATATACTAGTATCACAATTATTGGAAATCATTGGTACACTATCTTGAAGTATAGGTAGGTTATTTGAAATCTTACAACCAGAAGTACTAGGCATCAGTTTACAAGAATTCGCATCCAATGATGTAGACTGTTGTGTTTTAACACAATTTATCTCTGAAGTCATTGGAATTATTTTGGAAACTAATTTTTGGAATCCTTTAACAAAATTTTGAGATCCATTCTCGATGTCATCCAAACCATTTTGCATTTTTTCAAAATTTGGAGAATCTTGTTTCTGATAAGTTTCCATAGAATTATTTCCTAATTTTACAAAACCCTGTTCTGTTGGTTCTAATTTTATGAAAGCTTGTTCCATATGCTCTATTTTAGATTGCTCATAATTATCATCAACCTTACAAAAATTTGACGATCCTAAACCAGTCCCTAATTTTGTGAAGTTCTCTTTATGAGACTCTGTTTTTTGAAAATTAGAAACTTTTGGTAAAGTAATATCAATTTTCTGGAATCCAGGATTATCTGAAATCTGATTCTGAATCTCTGGATTTGAAATTAACAATTTCGACACATTATTAGATTTATTACTCTCTGAATTATTCACTGGACTAGGATTTCTTCTCATTAATGTTAAAGCTGATAGCACCTCTGGGCAAGTAGGATTTGTTATGGAGTCATTTCTTCTATCACTTAAAAAATCAGAAACACTAAGGTCTGAGCTTTCGGAAAAACCACTTGACATTCGTTCTTCTATATTTTCTTTACCATCTTCAGAATTATCTGTTTTCTGGAGCTTAAGAGGTGGTTCCCCATTTTCATAACTAGTACAAATAGAAGTATCAACCTTTTTCAAAGCTTCATTATTAATTCTATATAAACCTGGATTAAGACCTAAAGCATCACAAAGCGATTCCTCATTGATATCAATCAACTCTTTGCTTGATTCTTCGTCGTTGTTTACAAGTGTTAACATTGTTCCAGCCTTTTCTCGTATTTTATCCATTAATTGTTTTAATTCGTCCAAAAAGTTTCTTACATTATTCTCAGACTTTAGTACTAGTAAATCAAATAATGATTGTGCGTTCAACACAGGTTTTGCAGCTATTTTTATTATTTCGAAATCTTCACATACAGAAATTGCTTCGCGCAATTTTATTTGTCGTCTTTCTGACTTAGCTTCTGGCGTAACATAAGCCCAAGGACCTCGCTTTTTTCCTTTGCGTTTTAAAGGATCTTGACCTCCACTTTGTTTTAATTCAGGTTCAGGTGTAGAGGGAGGTAGTTGTTCAGGACTTCCATGGTCAGGATGCATTTCAAAATGTCTTGCCATGCGAGTACGTCCTAAATATATTTTATTACATGTAGGACACCTAAAATGATCTGATATTTTTCTTTTTGGTACTTCTAGTCCTGTTAATAATTCCTTAGGTGATTCTTCTTCCTCAAGTTTATCATTGTTAGTATTATAATCGCTATAACCACCATCTGAATCATCCAGATCAGGTTGTAAAAAATCTGAATGATGCAAATGTTTATAATCTCGTACCATATGTCTAGGAGGTCGAGAAAGTCTACCCGATCGTGTTCTGGCTACAACTTTCTTTCTTTCATCCTAAAAAAAAAGAAAATAATAATATTAACACATATATTAACAATAAAACAACTTTAAAATACAAAAAAATAAATAAAATCTACCTTCAATTCTTCCTGTTCTTCATCAGGAATTGGTGCTGGTTTAGATGGAAGTAAGGAAGGTCTCATAGCACTTTTCTTTGGCCTTCCTCTTTTCCCACCACGACTTTTTAATAAATTTCCTGGATTTCTAATTTGTAAATCCAATTCTTCAGGAAATACAACTCTAAACAAACATTTAATTCATAGGAATATAAGATTTTATTATTTAATTATTATGTCTAATAATAAATAATGATAAATAAATAAGTTTATATACTAACCTATATACTACTCTTTCATTTGATGTAGCTGCTTCTTGACTACGTTGTTGCAAAACATGTGCAATTTGTTTCAGTTGTGTTGGTGTTAAACGTTGTATACTAGAATAAATATAGTTGTTATAGATAAATATAATAAATATATTATTATCTTAAAATTTTTCATATACCTGTGAAATGTTTGACCTTGCTGAACTATTTGTATGGGATTTTCACTGGAACCTAATGGTTTAGATGTATCTGTAGATTCATTTACTATTGTTGTAGATTTAACAGGAGTACTTTTAACTTTTTTATTCACTTTAAGATTTGTGCCATTTACCACGAGATTAAGTTTTTGTCTAGGAGTTTCACTTTGAACCAGTTTAGCAGATTCAAATGTACTATTCTGTTGTGTTGGAGATGTCTTTTGTGAATTATTTTGCAAACTATTTGCATTTTGGGTTCCAATAGTTATATTTTGTTTAGTCGTGTTGTTAAATGCAATTTTTGCTTGAGGTTTTAATATAGATATAGGCGTTGAACAGATTTGAGTCGGTTTCAAAATAGAATTTGTTGTTGTTGTTTTCAAATCTTGAGTTTTAACAATTGATGCGGTTCGGAGTACAACTGGTGTTTCAGAATTAGTTGTAGCTTTTGGTGTTCCAGTTGTGCTTGTAATTTTTTTACCAATTGTGGTTCTTGTTTTAAGTAACTGGGAAGGGATTTGTACTGATTTCAAAAATTGTGCTGGAATAGCTGCAGCCACATTGGTATTATTAAGAATATTTGTTTTTGGAAGCACAGTTGATGTACCTTTTAGGACTGGAGTTAAAAATTGTTGAACATTTCCTCTTTGAAGAGGCTGGGATGTTTTTACAATTGGAGACAAACGTATTTGTGAAGTAACAATATTCTGTGTTGCTCCAGATGTGGTATTTACAATAGTATTTGACATATGTGGTGTACCAATAGATTGGTTCTGTATTTCACAAGCACTAGTCAATAGCTGAGATGTATTTAATAATTGTGCAGATATACCACTAGTATTTAACAACTGAGCTGTTATAGGTGTAGCTTTTATTATCTGTGGTGACAAATTATTCAATATTGTAGCTTTCGAAAGTAATACGGAATTAGAATTTGAGTTTGTATTCAGTGAATGTACACTGTTAATGGAATTAACAGTTGTGTTGGTCAACTTGTTTGAACTTTGAAATAATCTAATGTTCTTAGCTGGTTTCAATATAGTTTGTGCAGGCTTTATAATAAATTGTGAAGATGGTAAAATCATTGGTAATTTTTGTAAGATTTGCGCCTGAGTATTAGGTATTGTATTAAGCTGGTTTTGTGCTATATTATCTTCAATAGTATATTGCAAATCATTTTCATGAATGCTTTTTACATGTGTGACATCTGTTTTTATTGTGTGTATTTTAGGTTGTTCCAAAACCATTGTCTCTGTGCTTGAATTCTGTGGAATTATATTAGTCTGATGTTCAATCATTTGTTGAGATTCATGATTCTGATTATTCAAATCAATTTCTTCCAATGTTATGTCATTCTCGACAATTTGATCTTGAAGTTGTTCTGTTTGGGAAACCTTTTGCATATGCCATTCTTGAAAATCAATACATTCTGTTTTAATCAATCTAGTATTATTGGACTTTTGTACTTCTTCGGGTTGATAATTTAACTGACCGATTGTTATAGATTCCTGAGGAGGTAATGAGTTTTGGTCCTGTACGTTGACGTTGTCTTTTGCGGAAATATCTTCTGGTATGTTTGAAGTGGCGTTATCTTGTTCTTGTTGATAGATAACCTCTTCGTTCGAGTTTACCTCGAAGGTTAGTCCCAAGGCTGCCGCTTGTTCCGGAGTCAAATGAATTGTTTGGGAATCATTATCATCATTTTGCAAAAATGCAACAAATTCGTTATCGTGATCGTCATCGTCAACAACTTGTTGGAACGCTTGTTGAAGGAGATCGGAAGTACCAGTAGAAGATGCATCGTTTGTAAACACAGTAGAATTCGAAATTTTCGCCATATCCTAGATTTTCCAGCCGTTCAATTTATAAAAGATAATTATATGATAATGGCGATCACTTTCATGTTTTAGAATAATATTTTATATATTTTTTCTCTAGAAAGTGTCTGTATGATTCGCGCTTATCGCATTTCGCTGTACACGTTTTTCGCGCAAACAGAAACACATGAGGTGCCTGAAGATTGTCACAGACATAATGAAGAAAATGGCGGCAGCATCGATAAGATACACAGTTGCACAGTTGGTAATTCGTAATTATGTCTATTCTCATTGGGTTGTGCATTCAATATTGTACGAGTGTTAAATAGTGTCAAATAATTATTTAGTGTTCTGTATATAATAAAATTATAAATCTTGTTACAGTATATTTTTTTCCGCATTTTGTTGTAAAAGTATAAGTTTAATACGAAGAAAAAATTGTAATGAAGTTGAAAGAAAGAGTACATGGAAATATATACGAATGTTATTCTAACTTGTTGTGTGGACTTTATGCATAATCCTTTGTTTCGAAGATTTAAATAATTGAAAATGAATATTTATTTTTGTGTATCAACTTGGTCTTATATTAGTCGTATCGTCACTTGCGTTGATATTTTATCAAACTACTGTGTATGATTTATTACGATTTTACGTAGTTGTATACATGAATATATACAATTTGTATTGATATTAAATTAATTTCATAAATGTGCAATCGTATGACATTGTAAATTTTGTAAATCCAAAATCTAAACGTAAGAGAAGCATTAAATAAATAAAAGATACAAAATATGAATATGGTAAGTGTCACTAATAATTCAACTTGCTGTGTTGATAATTTATATTATCTCATTTGCAGATAAATTATTCAGAACAAAGTAGTACTGTATTTTATATACATATTGATACTTATCTAATAACGATATTGTTAATTAATAATGAAATGATTAAATTTAGATTTGTAGTAATTAATCTAATTACCATTTCCATTATTTATTGAATAAAGATTTTTGTTTCAAATCTTCATATTTTACCTTTTATTTTGTTCTTAAATTTTATAATTGTCAAAGTATTTAGAAACTCAGTGACCTTCTAAATGATTTTAAATACGTATTGTTTGCAATGATATTTATTTTACTAAAGGCATTATTATCATAGGATGATGATGATCAGTATCAAGCTAGTTACGATGTAGGTTCTTTTCCTAAAGATTTTGGATATGCCCCATTTGATGGAGAAACAGAGGGATCTATGGATCCTTTAGCAGGAGAACAAAAACCTAGAATATTATTAATGGGCCTTCGCAGGTAGCTATCAACTTTAGTATATTTTTATTTCGATAATATCAATTATTTTATTGCTAATATTGTTATTAATTGTATAAAATGAACATTAACTTTAGGAGTGGAAAGTCATCAATACAAAAAGTAGTTTTTCATAAAATGTCACCAAACGAAACGCTGTTTTTGGAAAGCACAAACAAAATTATCAAAGATGATATAAGCAATTCTAGTTTTGTTCAATTCCAAATTTGGGACTTTCCGGGACAAATTGATTTCTTTGATCCTACTTTTGATAGTGATATGATATTTGGTGGTTGTGGAGCACTAGTTTTTGTTATCGATGCTCAAGATGATTACATGGAAGCACTTAATAAACTTCATTTGACAGTTACAAAAGCATATAAAGTTAATCAAGCGATAAAATTTGAGGTGTTTATACACAAGGTTGATGGCTTATCTGATGATTGTAAAATGGAAACACAAAGAGATATACATACTAGAGCAAATGATGATCTTGCAGATTCTGGTAAATAAGTGATAAGTAATTAAGAATAGTTCTTTGTTGATATTATTTAGAATTAAATAAATAATTATGTGTAATAATATATATTTTAGGATGTGACCAAATACATCTGAGTTTTCATTTAACATCCATATATGATCATAGTATATTTGAAGCATTTAGTAAAGTTGTACAAAAATTGATACCACAATTACCAACTCTAGAAAATTTACTAAATATACTCATATCAGTAAGAAAAAAATATGAATATACAAACTTTCATAACAAGATATTTTCACAAGATAAATTATAATTTGTTTTTCAGAATTCTGCAATTGAAAAGGCATTTTTATTTGATGTAGTGTCTAAAATTTATATTGCAACTGATAGTTCTCCTGTAGACATGCAAAGTTATGAACTCTGTTGTGATATGATTGATGTTGTTATTGATGTATCTTGCATATATGGGTATGCCTTACAAAAATCTACGTAAAAGCTTTTACCTAGATAATAAAAATAACTACAGTCATATATTCATTTTAGTTTGAGAGAGGATTTAGAAGCTGCAGCATTTGATAATCAAAGTTCTAGTTTAATCAAATTAAATAATGGAACGATTTTATATTTACGAGAAGTTAATAAATTCTTGGCTTTAGTCTGTATTTTGCGTGAAGATAATTTTGACCGACAAGGTAACATAAAACATTTCAATACTCATTTATTTAAAAAATTGGTAATAACACTGCACAACTACCTTAATAATTTTTTTTTTTTCAAATTACAGGTGTAATTGATTATAACTTCCTTTGCTTTCGTAAAGCTATACAACAGGTTTTTGAATTGCGTAATAAAGCTTTAACTACTGCAAATGTTAATAATCATTCAACACCACCTATTAATTTGAATGAAACTACAAATGCACCTACAGTATCACAAAGTGGAACAATAGGACAAAATGGTACCGTTGTAATTGCACAGAGTTTTGGCCAGAGTAGAATTTTTCTTTAAATTGAATAGTAAAAATTATTCACTTTTATTTTAAATATTATTGCAATAATATATTTCAATCATGTTATTCATAATTTAATTTTATAAATATTTACTTAACATGCAAGATGTATTTATTTTATTACTTCTCAACAATTTTTTTAATGGAATTAAATTACATGTGCAAGTGACATATATGTATATATATACAATTGTGTATTAAAATAAATTATTATCATCTATTAAGATAGTAATTCACATATTTATGAACGAGTTATCATTATAAAAACTTACTAAAATTATTTTTTAATTCGTTACCATGAAGTAATAAAAATATTAATTTTTGATAGACATTTATCTTAAATCTTATACTTAACAACATATTTTTTATTTAACTAAATTTTATAATTTATATTAATATTTTTATATTAATTAATAATTTGCTTCTAATTTATTATCGTTAATAAAATCTTGCATTTCACGACATAAGGCATATGGAGATAAATTAACTGTAATAATACTTTCTTCTAATTGATACCAACGTATGTATGAAAATGTTTGTTCATATTCATTTAGAATAATATCACTTGGTAAAGAATTTTCCGAATTTAAACTAAAAAACAAATTTTAAACAATTTTAAACTTTAATATTTCATCATAACTTCATAGTATTTAAAGACAAGTTTTCTCTATACTCTCTATATAAATAATATATTTCTTACCTGCTGTTATACCAATCCATTTTATGTATAATCTTTGGAATTGGAATAGGCAAGCCTGATGGTGGTAAATATTGATAAGCTATTTCAATTAGCAAACTATGACTGAGATTATTAAATGGACACATGGTGATATTGTTTTCTATATAAATATCTTTTGTATTAATTTGATATTGTAGCATTAATTCATCTGAAAGGAATTTAGGGATTGGCTAGAATTTTAGAATGGAAGAAATTGATTTTGAAAATAAATAAAAATAATAAAATAAATTTTTTATTCTACAATATAAATTAATATATTTTTAATGTACAAATTATTTAATAAAATATACAATATTATAGTTTTCATAAATATTTCAATTGTAATACACATTGTAAAACGTTTGAAATATGGAAGGTATATGCACACATTTTATTAAAAAAAAAAAAAATTATAGCATAATTAGTTACAAAGCATTAGTACACATTATTACAAAGACTAATATATTGGTAGAATTCTTGTTAATGAAAGGTTTGTATTTTTGATACGACATAAGACTTAGTTACAAATAAAAATAAAAAAATAGTTCATAATTTTTTTTATAGAATCATTATTGGATGTATAAAAAATTCAAAAATATTTTATTGTTGGACATATGACATGCTGCAGTTAAATGCAGAACTTAAGCCAGTCACTGCAAACAAAGCAATTAAAAAAAAAGATACATTAAATGATGATATAAATTATGCTACTGTATCTTATTAGTAGTAATTATTAAAAACTTTAATATTTTATTTTTTAATACTTCTTATTGTATTAATTATTGTATTAATTTTAGGAATACTAGTTTGACATAAACTCTATAATTGTGTTAATAAAATTTCAGACTTACAGTAATTTGCATCCTTATTCTGAACTGCATTATGTAAGGCTAAAGCAAGGTATGTATGATATTTATTATAACTGTTTTCTAGCACATCTAATTCTTCACTAGCAAATGTTAATTTTTTATAATTCCATCGAGCACGGATATGATTACACATCTCAATTAACTAAAAAAAATTTAGATATATTGTGTATTTGTATAAGATGTATTTGTAGAAAATATATTATGTATAACAAAGTTAATATATACATACATTATTTATTGTTGCCATTAAATCTTCATACTCTGAAGTTAATAAACAGTGTTCATGAACTTTTTTTAAATATTCATTATGAACTGTAATTAAAAAATAAAAGAATTATATATTGTATATATTACAATTTTATTAGTATATAAATTCACTATAATTACCTGATATAATTGTGTCCAAACTCTCGGCTTGTGTCAAAGATTTTTCTAACATAAGACTTAAATTTTGTAATACTTGACCAGATAAGTACGTATGTACTAATGTAATTGCATGTAATAAACAAAATCTTAAGCTTTCAATACGTCTGATATGAAACTGTTCTAATTTATTCCTTTTGCATACTGATTTTGAACCTTCTAAATCTATAAAAAAATATCTTTATTTATAATATTCTATTAAAAATGAGAAAAAGAGTCTTATAATGTTTTTTTTACCATTAAATCTTAAATTATTTAATGTCCATAAAGCCCACTTTAATTTCAACTGAAATCTAAATATTTCATTATATTTTACGAAAGTTTTTTCATTTAATACAATATTTATAGGCCAGCCTATTGTGTAATGTAATGTTATATTATCAACAGCCATTAATACTTGATTTGTGTGAGTATTAGAAACTGTAATAGACCAACGTGAACTTGAATCTGTCCACCATTGAGAAAGGATTTCTTCAAGTATACATGATAAAAAATATGAATTGTTCCACATTTGATTAGTTTCAATCTAAACAAAATATATATAATAAAAATTTGATAATTAAAACAATTACTAATATTGTAAAATGTACCTCATAAAATAATCTTTGGTAAAATTTATTCATAATATGACCTGCTTCCATCATATAAACAGATCTCATTAACATTAAATGTGATTCTAATTTATATTCTTCACACATGATATTCTTGACTAATTTGCTGGCACCATTATATCGTGAAATTAAAATTTCTGTTAAAATATGTTCTAATATTTTTCTGAGTGGTAATATATAATTTGATACTTTTTCAAGCCTAAAATACATTATATATTTAAAAAATGCTTTTGCTAGAAAATATGTTTCAAGTATATAGAAATACCTTTTAAAAATATTAGTTTCTATCTGAATATTTTTAGAAACCCCAACATCATCTACATTATCTCTCTTTAATAACTCAGAAGGAAGATAATCTTCTAGAGCTTTTAATAAAAATGGATTATTAAATTCAGATAACTGTTTTATAATATTTTTTTCCATATCCTCATCATATTCATTTTTAATAACTTCTTCTTCTTGAAATGAAGATACACTTCCTTCTTCTTTTTGTTTATCTATACTATATTTAGAAATTTCTATTTCTAATTTGGTATAAAATTCATCAACTAAAGATCTCTTCAATTCTGAAAGAATTATATAAAATTTAAAGTAACATTTAAAATAAAATTATAACAGTAAAAAAATCATTACGTACCATTTCTTCCAATATTAATCTTCCATATATCTGTAATTCGATCTAAAGATACTAATAATTCAATACTTTGCCCTATATGTTGTATCTTTTTTATCAGGAACTGCAAGACTGGATCTGCTAAACATATACTACCCAAAGGTCTCAAAAAAAATGTTTCATATTGTATATTACTTTCTGAAACTGCACTACCTGGTAACCTAATGTAAATAAATTATTTATTATTTATAATCATTTTATCGTATATTTAAACTTTACCTTGCAATTATAAATTCCTCTCTCCAATCTTCAAATCGGCCTTCGCTTAACCATGTGTCAATTATATTTAAATAAACAGTAAGACTAGATAAATATAAACTGGTACAAATATTTGTTCTTTCTCGATTGTGTGAGTTTTGTATTTCAAAATATAAAGACGATAATAATTTAGATGCACACTTCCAATTTGGATGAAGCTTCCAATTACATATTGACTTTTTATGAATTTCATGTAAAATTTGTATACCATACAAATTCTTTTTCAAAATTGATGATAAAGATAGAAATGTTAAATTGCTATCTAAAATCCGATGTAAATATAAAATAATAAATTAATAAATAATTAATAAAAATATTTATAAATTTATTAAGTGTACAAAAGTTTTTACCTTGCTTCACAAGAATTTTTTCTACATCAATTATTTTCTCTTTAAATTTCATCAAATGTTGTTTTAGAATTGCATTATAAGTTTCATATGTTAAAGGTGGTTTTTCACAAAAATTATCTTGCTCTGAATATAATCTAATTCCAAATTGTTCTATATCACGTATCATTGAAAAATATTTACAAAAGGGTGAAAGAATACTATTGAATGCAACCTGAAATACATTACTATTAATACATCTTAAACAATTAGAACTTATATACACGTTAAATATATGTTAATGCGAAAGTATCTATTGTATACTTACAGTAGTTAAACTAGGTATTGATATATCAGAACGAATAAAAAATTCTGTTTTTTCATTTTGTTGAAAAACTACCATTTGCGTTGGAGCATAAAACATCCATAACAATTCTCTACATACAAGATATTCGCTAAGAGTTCCAAGTGTGTAAAAATCCCCTCCATTTGCTTTATGCCTATTTAATATTAATATATTGAAAGTATTTGGATAAATAGAAAGAGTACAATTTTTATAAGAATAATTACCAAATTTCACAAAGATGAGCATCACAAAATCTGCTCTTAACTGGATACTTTCTCCATCTTAACTCATTCCACCAAGTATTTTGAACATTTGATAATAACCAATTTTTAGATTTGAGTTCTTCGTTTAAAGCTAAAGATAAATTATTTAATTCTTTTTCAACAAAAGGTATGCATACTGCTTTATTTGAATTTATGATATTTGTAGATGCATCAAAATTTGAATCTAGATCCACATTATCTTCTATATCATTTGACCATTCCTATTAAAAATTTAACATTTGCATAAATTAGATAGAAATATATCTTTAAGCATTTCTTACAAAATAATTAAATATTAAAATATTATAACAAGTAGACAATTATAAAAGTATTTACACTCTCTGAATCACTTTTATAATCATTGAAAAAGTTTTCTTGGCCTTCTTTTAAATATTCAGCCCAATCAATTTCCTCTGTAACTTCATTTTCATCTTCACCTGATACATTGAAAGTATATTCTCCACGTGTTAATTTTAAAGATTCCAAATCAGATTTACAAGTTTCTTTAGCTAATTCGAATAACAATGTTAACAGATACCATTGCAAATCATATTGTGGATGTTGTTCGAAATTAAAACTTATTAGAAATGCATTTACAAGTTCTTCGAATTTTTTTGCTACATCATATTTTCCATGAATTGAAAATTTTGTAATTAAAGCTTTAATAGCTTGTTTTGTGCTGTTACTATCAACAGATAAATACCGATGATGTTTGATGTTTGTCATACAAAATCGTTCACAAATTCGAAACCCTTCTTCATTTTCCTAAAAATTATACAAAAAATGGTATATACGTATTTATTAAATGATTCATTTTATTAAATGATGAATATTTATTCCAATGTAAAATATATTAATTGATAAATATACAAGCATATTACCTCAAAAGATGTAATTGCTGTAATTAACTGTTTCATGTCATTGTGAATATCATTTAATATTTTTGTACCCATTCTTGTCTAAGGTATAAATAGTAGAAAATTAAGAAGAGGATCAAGTTTGTACTGAAAATTCAAAAGATATGGAGATAAAAATAAAATGCAGATGAACAAATATTTCTAAAGAAAATAATTAAGAATCTAACCTTTCAAATACTTTTATTTAATTTCTTACATAAACAAAAAAATTGTGATCTCAATACTTTTTTATGTATGATTTCAGTTCCATAGCAATTATATTGGAATATTCGTTTCATTAAAGTAACATCAATCTTTAGTTTCTTTTGAAACAAAATAAACTACAAGCAAATTAAACAATATGCGCATGGCAATACCCAAACATCAAACTCCATTTTTAAATGCCACCGAAATTACCTCATTTATAATTTGTAACACAAAATATGTAAGTGATACAAAGATATAAAGTCATTTCTTGTATTCATTAATTTTTATTATCATTATTAAAATAATCTAAAAATAAGCTTCTTTATTTATGAAAAGAAGTAAAAATAATATGCCGAATAATTTTCATAATTATCTAATCTCTATAGTATATACGGTTTAACTTTTACTCCGAATCATTGTGATATAACAAACAAAAAATATGGCACGGAGTAAGTTTGATATATCTGAATAAAACTCGAAAATAAAATTTTCAAATGAGAAATTTGAAACAATTAAATACCTGTAGGCAGATAAACAATATACGTAATTTTATAGCGCAATTTATTTAATAAAAATGTAAACTAAGGTTACAGTTAGTTAAATGTAGATGAGATGAAGTTTTACATTTACATATACATATAAACATATTTCATATCATTTCACGTAATTGTATAAAATTCATTTCTGTAATTATGATGGAAGACCTGATACAAATCAGTCAAACAGTGAGATCTTAATAAACATAAGGATTGTAATGATACAAATGTAAATTTATGATTGCATGTTTTGGTCCCAAATTAGGGAAAACCAAAGATATATTATGGAATGTATATTAATATGTTATGTATGATCAGTAATTATTTTAAGTTCACAACATTTCCATAAAAAAGTTTTCGTTTGCATACAATCGAGTATATATTTTATTTTTACTATGATGTATCTGACTGTATTAGTTTAAAAATTTACACATAAATTCATAAATTTACACATGATTCTGATTGAAATTAAATAATTAAATTTCGTAAACTCAGCCTCAGTGGAAGAGTTGTGGTCTATGCACTTGTAATTTAACATATTATTTAAACTTCCTACAAAGTTTATTTCAGTTAAAAAAAAAGAATATTCCTGACACTATGATAGTAATGCTACATTATCAATGTATGTTAAAATGTAGTGATATCAACCGAGAATAATGTTATATAAAAATAAGTATCAAATTGTTTTACTAACATGAAGATGAATATGAAGTTGCATATGTTCCTGAGAAACACTAAGTTTTATAATTACAATTCATCTCTCTCATCGAGATCTATATCACTAAGATCGATTTCTTCCTCTTGCGGAAGTTCAGCATCTTTGCCATCCCAGGGTTTCGTTTCGAGAATAACAGGTAGCTGAGCTCCTTTCAAAGGAGCTGTACCTCCTCGCCCATAACTTAAGTCTCGTAAAAATTCATTTATACCGTCATACGAAAAACTACCTTTTAATAAAGAGTATTTCATTTTCTTTATATTTACAGCTGCTAGTGCTGGATATCCAAATCCTCCAATTTCTAATGCTTCTTCAATATGAGGTTGAGCACCAGCTTCAGCCCAAACCCATCTGTTTATAAAAAAGATTTATATATATATTTATAATTTAAGAATTACGAAGAATAATTACGAATTTATTGATATTTGTATTAAATAGTGTATAAAACTTACCCCCATATTTTTTGTTTATATTTTTCTCCGAGCTTGTTTAAGGTTTTTAAATATGCATTTCTACAATCAGATTGACAATCTAAAATGTGCGGTAAAACGGACACAACACATAATGGTTTGTCCTCGCAAACCTCCCTTAAGCTCTTTTCATTTATAATTTGAACTACTTCTGGTGCTGGAACATTCTCTGCCAATTTTTCTAATGCCCAATTCACGATATCACTACTTGTGCGACCACCATCATATTCTTGCACAGAATCAAGAGATTTTTTTCCAGGTGCAAAATATTTAATAGTTGGATATCCTTTTATTTCATACTGAACAGCCTAACAACATCATAATTTGATTGTAGTTATATTAACTTACAAATCATATTATTTAATATAATATAATCATATTATTTAATATAATATAATATAATATAATATATAAAACATGTAATTCATATTTAATATAAATATGAAACATATAAAACATATTATTTAAAAAAAATGAATTACCTTAACTCTATTTACAGTAGCATCGATAGCTCCCAACTTCACTTTGCCTTTAAGTTCTGTTGCTGCAGATGCCCAAATTGGGGCTAAATTTTTACAATGACCACACCATGGTGCATAAAATTCAACTAACCACATATCCTCCGAGTTCATTACTATTTTATCAAAATTATCATCTGTTAATTCAATTACGTCTTTGGAATCTTTGGACTGTAATAGTGATAGACGATTAATTGCTTATTTTTTTTATTCTTATTGTATTATATTTCATTATATTACATTTACCTTAGAATCTCCACCACTTTTTTTACCCCCTAAAGCTCTACGTGCTTTTTGACTAGCTGCATTTAAAGCAGCATCAACAATTCCTGCTGCAGTTCTTGGTCCGTTATAATCTTCTGGTTTACTATCAAGACCAAAGATCTTAATTGTTGGAAAACCTTGAATTCCGTATCTTGATCCAAGGGATTTATGTTCGTCTGCATTCACTGCACCAACTTTTATAATACCCTGTATAAATATACATTGAACATTGTATTTAGAAAGCATATTGAAATAAATGATATTTGAAATACAAAATTTTAAAAAATTACTTTCAAAGCAGTTGCAGCTTTGTCATATTCAGGTGTTAACTGTTGACAATGTCCACACCATGGTGCAAAGAATTCTACAACCCATATATTATCGCTATTTAACACCAAATTATCAAAATTATTTGGTTTCAGTTCAATAACATCCGAGTTGGAGTACAAACAGTGAGCTCCAGTAATTAGCAGCAAAATACCTAAATAAGGCAAATATAAAACGATATTAAATCGCGCATAAATAGTGTAGAAGTAAATCTTAAAACATTCATGAAATTAGAATGAGAAGAGCAAATATTCAGTGAAGAAATGAAAATATATTATAAGGATAGATACATCTGCCGGTAAGATTTAATAGTAAATAAATCGTGAGGTATATAACATATACATTAGTTTGTAAAGCTCACCTAGAAATTCTTGCATTTTGCTTAGCAAACTAACAGACTTGTTTATAACTATTTTTAGAAAATCATTCACCGAGGGGATCTTTCAAATATAAGATTGAAACGTATACAATCTTTTCTTCTAATATTCAATCGTTCACTCCGTTTCCCCACTCTTTATAACCAGATATAACTTTTCGTGGATCGTTCTGATTGGTTGCTCAACAAGCACATGCTATAATGGAAATGCACAGCTGTAAGAAAATTGTCATTTTGAAACAATCCGTTTCAACTAGAACAATTAGAAAATGGTTATATTTCATTTTAAAAATATTTCTATGTAAGTCTGTATAAATTTCGTTTGAAAGTATTTCAAAAAATTACATTTGAATGTGCAATGATACGGATTATAAATGTACGTAGACGGCTATTTAAACAAATGTCTGTAATATGTATGTAATTTGAATTACCAAAATTGGATTTATTTGATTTTAAGCTTGAAGTTTACAATGTATATTATGTATATTATGTACATTAATGTAAAAATTATGTCTATTAATAATCAGAATAATCAATAACGTAATTACTTTATGAAGTAATAATAAAATTAATCATACAAATTAAATTTTTACATTCAATGCACAATAATGTTAAAATTAAATTTTTCGATCCTGACTTTTATTCTTCAAAATTTTATTGATAATTGTTGATAATTATAAGAAGTTATCGGCAAAACAGATAATTTTATGTTTCAAATAAGAATAATTTAAAATTGTAATTTTAATTTAATATTTTACTGATTCTAAATCTGTTTTACTGACCCATTAAAAAGTTCAAAAGATTCCACACTTAATTAAACTTTTTTTGAAAATTCTATATTAAAATATAATTATTGTACATTAACTACTTAATTTTAAGATCTAAAAAATTTCAGGGTATATCGCACTGTTTCAGAAAAAAGTGGACATGTATGATATAAGAATAAATATGATAACCAATTAAATGATCGATTTATTTTTATACAGATATTTTACGTAATTGGCGCCATAATGTCGTGATGATGATAGTGGTGTTAATTCTTAGCACTATCAGTCAAGGGTACACAAGTTCCATGCATAAAATATTCTTTTAAAAAAAAGTGAATTAATATATAGAGTTAAAAATTTAACAGTTCAATTACACAAGGTGCTATTTATTACAAGAGTTTTAGAAATTCATTGAAAAATGTCGCGAAATCAGTATAAAAATGTTACACATTGTATTTTTGATATGGATGGGTTATTGCTAAGTAAGTGATTTGCATTGTCATTACATTACTCATCTATAAAGTTACATATTTCTATGTTATGAATTAATTATAGAGATTCGATTAAAGTATCTATACTTTATGATAATTAGATGTTTAACATTGGATGTTTATTTACTTCATGATTCTTATAAGCTCTATATGAATAATTAAACTGTAGATAAGTGAATATTTATTTATATGAATACAGTAATTTTGTTTTGTCTATGTACGTGTAGTAATGAATAAAATCTCAGTGGCAATTATTAAGAAATATGAGGGATATAAATTAAAATACACCATGCATCTGTATGAGCGGATTTTACTGTCAAAGAAAGGGTTAAAATAGCACTTATGCGTGAGTTTGTATGTGCTTTACTTCTAATTCTTAAGAAGCTGTGTTAGAATCTCGTACATACATACTTGCGGGCATGTACATAAATTTCTGTTAAAAGTCTTTCATTTGTCATTAATTGAGGAACTATTTTCTCAACACAGTTTCTACATTAACATTTAAATTATAAATCATAGCTTAAATCAGTAAGTTAAATAAGTACTTACGTAATATATCAATTATATAAGTAATCCTGTATTAAAATTTTAATAGATACAGAACTAATTTACACCAAAGCCTTTAATCATGTTACAAATCGTTATGGAAAAGAATTCACGTGGGAACATAAAGCAAAAATTATGGGTTTTAAAACAAAGAATGTCGCACGAGCTGTAATTGAAATGTTATCTTTACCAATAACAGCAGATGAATTTGAAAATGACGTAGTTAAACTATATCAAGAATTATTTCCTTCTGCAGATCTTATGCCAGGTAATTTATATGGATTTTAAAAAATCAAGATCTAAAATCTTAAAAAGTATAAGACAAAACATTTTAAAGGACTTAACATAAATCTTCAAAATATTTTTGATTTTGTTTCGTTTTCAATTGTTGAAATACATTATTTTTAAATATATAAATTTTAGAAAATATGTTAATAAAGGAAATTTTGTTAAATAAATATATTAGTATTATTTGAAAATAGGTGCTGAACAATTGTTGAGACATCTGAAACAAAATAATATTCCAATAGCGTTAGCTACAAGTTCTAATAAAGAAAATTTTGAATTAAAAACCCAAAAATGGAAACATATATTTGATTTGTTCAACCACAAAGTTCTTGGTGGTTCCGATCCTGAAGTTACAAATGGTAAACCAGCACCTGATATTTTTTTGATTGCTGCAAAGCGTTTTATTGATAATCCTGATCCCTCAAAGGTTTGTGCATTTGTATTAAAGTTTCGACTTCTTAGAATTGCTTTATAATTGTTAAAAAATTGAATGATATATTTTTAGTGCCTTGTGTTTGAGGATGCTCCAAATGGTGTAAAAGCTGCAATTACTGCTGGAATGCAAGTTGTTATGGTTCCAGATCCAATGTTACCAAAACATTATATTGAAAATCCAACATTGATAGTAAACAGTCTTGAAGAATTTCAACCTGAGTTATTTGGTTTGCCACCATATAGCACATAATACATATAAAATGTATTCATACATATAACTTGAATATATAGTGGCAAACATATACTTACCAACACACTCCATAGATCAATTTTTATTGTTTGTAATAATGTACAAAAAAAATAAATTAATTCATTTTGATTTTTTTAAGATATAGCTTTAATTTTTTTTCTTACAGATGTTTACAAACAATATAGTTTCTATATTATTAGTCTCACTTTTGAAAACTAAAATTAAATTATTTCAGTTATTATTTTATTATTTTATAACTGTGAAAATTTAAGAAAAAAAAAGAATAATGACTTAATGTTCTAGTGGTTAAGTCAATATCATAATAATAATGAATGTAAAAGAAAACAAAAAATAAATTATATATTCGTTTAAAACGTTATAAATTATTAATTTATCCTGACAATGTATCTTTAATACAAATATATACAAGAATAAGTTATTGTTAAGTACATATTTTATTTTTATGTACAAAAATGTTTTCAATTGTAAATTGTAAATATTATATAATAATTTTAGATACTTTAAAATAAAATATTAAAAAAATATTCTTAAGACGCTTTTTAATTGCTTGTAATATTTACGTTATAATTTTTGTAAGATAGAATAACAAATAAAATTAAAGTATAAAAAATATCAAATTTAATAATATATACTTACATAAAAACATTTATTCTATTATCTATAGTCTATAGTTAATATAGTTACTTATAGTATATTTTTCGTGATCACTGCATATTTACTGAAACAGAAAAATTAAAATTACAATTATATTATTATAAAAAATTATATAATATTTTTTTAAATATAAATTACTTACCACTTCTTCATCATCCAGTCCATCTGATATTTCTAAAGTACCTGTATATAAATTTGATTTTTCTTCTTGTTCATCATTATTTGAAAAGATTGTATCCAAACACACAACAGAAAATGCATTTCGCCTTAAAATTTTTTCTATTGCTTCTTTTAACGAATCATATGCTTCTCTCATACCTTGCGGACACTGAGATAACAAACCTAACAATAAATTATTTTATAATCAGTTGGTTATCTTTCTAGACAAAAAAAAAGAAAAATATAGATACTTACTTTTATATTTTGACTGAGTTACATCAAAAAGATGGAGATAAAAACACATTTGATTATAAAGTTTTGTATCTGTGAACTTTAAACAATATTTTAGTTTTTAATATATTCAAAATATTTAAAAACAGTGATAAACTTTTTAACTTACAACTCTGTGTAATTCACCATCATTACATTTTCTGCAAGTTGGATATATTGGCTCAAAATCTAATGGTATCTCTTGTGTTTGATCACCACATGTTGGATTTTCACATTCTAACCATCCATTATAATATTCGTTAATTAATTCTCGTATTGCAAGTGTCACCGCATTTTGTATTGTATTAGCATATGTCCATGGTTGTACCTTACAGCCTGGATTTGAACAGGAAGCAAGTGACAATTGATTTCCAAACTATAAAATATTTCGATATATAGTAAACAAATAAATAAATAAATATAAAAAATATAAGTAAATGTATATATATGTGTGTGTGTGTTATTCTTTTATCATGAATTTCTCTTACCTCTTCGTTTACAATATTTTTAATTATAATTTCTGATTGACATTTCTCGTTTCTACAATTAAATTTTAAAGGAAGGCAATACCTAAATCTATCCTCTTCCATTAATAGTGGTATATCACCATGTTCTTGATGTATTATTCTTCTAGATTTATAAATATTTTCCAAACCTATCAAAATAAATTTTATTTATAATACACATTTATATTATAAAATTCTATAATAAAATTTTTATTGATTAAAATTTTACCTAAGCATTTAGCTAACAAAACATCATCAATTCCTTCAATTGGTTCGCAAATTCGTAAAATAATAGGAAAAACTTGACTTAGTAAATAGTAATTAACATCTATTTTTAAAGAGTCACTCTTTTTATATTCATCAATATGATACGCTCTTTCAGTTGCAGATTTTTCTGTTCCGTCCTAACATATAGAAAAATAACTATATAATCGATAATGCTTATAAAAACAGTACACAAATATTAAATAATAGTGAAATCGACAAACACGAACATCGCATATAATATAAGGGATAGTGTCTCCAGCTTTCCACATTCTACCACCTTCTTTATTTAATCTCAAAGCTACTTGGACATGAGCTTGCTTAGTATCTGGATATTCATTTGGATTTTTTGATAATTGTTTCGTAATGATCAAAGAAGATAAAGGAACTTGATTTTCACGAACATTTTGTGCAACATCATGTAACATACTGAAAATTTGTTCTATTCTATCATCACACAATTTATCAGAAAGAAGATGGTCCAAAATTTTTCTAAAAATAACCACTGTTGTAAATATTATTTAAAATTTAAAATTCTGCTTAAAATATAATCTATTTATAGTTTACTTACTTTCCAACATCACAAGCTAATTGACACCAATCTCTTCGCACAATGTCTAAACCTTTATGTTCTTGTGTTAATTCTATTTGTCCATTAGGTAATTTTGTCATTATAACTGCAGCATACTTCTTTTTTTGTAATAGCAACAAATAACGGAATACACCATCAATATCTAATTCTACTCGTTTATATAATTTATTAACTTCCTGTTTTATCTATACACAAATTTTATTAGTATTATTTTCGAAATAAAATAAATAAAAATAGTATTATTTTCGAGATAAAATAAATAAAAATATAGTATTGATATGCATTTACCTTTCTTCCAACAGAAAAAACTTCATCGTAATCTAATAAACTTGTATTTATCATTATGGAATCAGTGTCTCCATATATAACTTCATAATTCAATTTTTCAACGAGGTTTTTTGTATGTTGCAAAATTTCTCGACCTTTTGCTATAATAGTATTCAATATTTTATAAATATATTTACAAATAAAATTATATTTTGTTTCCTTCTATTTCTATCTTTTACCTGTAACCAAGGCAGCAAGTCCTTTAGCATAAAATCTACAATGAGTTGCACCCAAACAACCGTACATAGAATTTGCTGTAAGTTTTAAAGCCAACTGTCGAATATTATATTGCATCTTCAATTCAGGTGAAATGTTTGGTGTTTTCATCAGTTTTTTCACTTCTACTCTACTTTCAACTAATTTACAAATTTCAGTTGGAATTATTCCAAATTCTAAATTTGATTCAGGAATTGATAAATCCTACATACATATTTATAGATAAAATATAGTTAAATAATAAAAATATGGTTATAAATAAAATTGAAAAATTCTACATACATATTTATAAATAAAATTAGTTGTTCAATCCAAAATAATAAATAAATTTACCTCATACTCAGCATATGCAGCTCCAGGTACAGTACTAAAACATAAATTGTATTCTTGAATTATACTGGGATATAAAGAATTAAAGTCCATTAATAAAATGAGTTTATCATAAAATCCCTTTTTTGGATCAAGAACTAGGCCACCAGCATAAGCCGCTTTCTTTTTACTAGTGTTTTCTATGAAATAATAATCATTCATGTATTATGAAGTATAATCATTCATCATAATAATCAATCATATTTAAAATATATGCCATTACCTTCATTATCTTTTCCCTTTTTTGTAATACGTTTATCAGGTGTTATATAATTTTTCAAATGAAATGCATGCAATAATAAATATTCGTTTCTTTCTGCGCGTCCTGCTGTTAATGTTCTTGATATAACATTTCCTGTACAAATAAGATAAATATATATTAATTGAAAGGTCTATATTATTCAAAAGATCAATATATACTTACCAGCAATACATGTAATTTGTAATACAAGTGGAAGAACATTAAGTTCAAAAACAATAGATAAAATATATAATCCTTCTGTCAATGTTATTTTAATTAAGTTATCTATTTTATTCAGAGTACTATAAAATAATATACATTTATTAGATTTTATTTCCTTACATTCATTTTCTTTTTTCTTTAATACCTGTTAAAACAACTAGAATTTAATTTTTTTTTGTTATAAATATCATAGAAACAACTTTTAAATATTTACCGCTATGCAAAGAGATTGCAAATCATAACTTCTAACTTTGAGATTTAATTCTTTAGCTGAAACTTGTATGTCACAGATAGGTCGACCAGCTGCTGCTTGATTTAAGTTTATCTTTCCCTAAAACACATTTTTTTGTATTTCTATATCTTTAATATTGTACTCATTATAAGTATACATTATCTATACTTTTATTAGAGGTGGTGCAGAACGTCTTAGTTTTCCAAATCTGCTCCAATTTGAAACCTTCAATGTAATCATTCTTTGCATTAAAATATCAAATTGAAAACCACAATCATATCCAATCAACAAATCTGGATCTGCAGTATTTATTATTTTTAATAGTTCTTCAAGTAAATCCGTTTCTGTTTCAAATTTCTTTAATGTAGTGTATGAAATGTTTGAGAGCATTTCTCGTGCTTGTCTTGGCCAAGGCGTATCGCGTGGATGTGTAATTACTATGTAAAATAATGTTAAAATATAATGCTCAAATATTAAAAATACATATTTAAATAATGATTTAATAAATAAACATACAACAAAAATGTTGTTGAAATGGTGGTTTTGGTGGTTCTTTGTCAATATGGTATTTGTGATGTATAAGAACTGCTACCATAACTATTTCATTTTGTTGTAATTTTGTATTGAAAGAAGTTCGTATATTTAATGTTGTCATCACTAACGGTGGCAATGTTTGAAAGTCGGAGAAAACAGATATATTCTCCATCTTCATACAATTTACCTATACAATTATATTATAAATGATTAATTACGTAATATATTTATAACAATAAATATAACTGTTATACCTTTATTTTGCACCAACTAGTTTGTACACCAGTAGGTAATGGACACTTAACATCTAACCAACATGGTCCCTTAATATTTCTTTCAATTAGAAATAACTCTAAAGAATTTATTGTTGTTCCAAAAACACGTTCTATTGACGGTCCAGAATAATTAGAGGGTACAGGTGGATAACTTGTAGAATATCTTACTTCCAAATAATCCGATTTTGCTGGAGTACCTTCTTGTTCAAAAGCATAATTTTTGGAAACTTTGCTGCTACGGAATTCCTTTATTCCTAACTTGTTTGCAAATTGATTAAATTCTTTATATACATCTTCTATCGTATTTAGTCGTTCTTTCTCATCATTTTCTGTCGATTTTATCTAAAATTTACATTGGTATAATTATTTTATTAATGTCAAAGAAAAATTAATAATTGATAGATGATATGTAAAAATTGCTAATAATATTAAAATTAAAATAAACCCTAATAGACATACATATACTCTAGGAAGAAGATAAATTCTTCGTGGAATATTTTTTACTGTTAAACAGCAAGAACGATATTCTTTTATTGAGGGTACAAAAACTTTTCCAAATAAATATACAACCCCAGGTTGTTTATATGGATCTTCATATGCATCCCACCAATAAAATCTGAATACTTCTTCGTTATTTGCATTAGTTACAAGTGGTAAAGACACTTCTGTAGTATCAGTAGATACTTCAATATTTGATATTTGTGTTTCAAATCCAATGTCTAATGTTGCATTAAAATTTTCCAAATCAAAGTTTTTTTTCTCAACATCTTTCATTTTCATTTGAGTGCTTGATTTGTTTTCCTTATTTTCTTTATTGATAAGTGACACTGATTTTTCATTCTGATTAACATTGTCATTTTCAAAATCTATAGAGAACTGTAATAAATATAATATAGTCTAAATACTATTTCAAAATATGATTAAGTAATAGAACTTACATCTCCAACAAATTGACTAAGATCTTCAGTTTCTGTTTCAATTATTTGACTGCTGCTTGTTTCTTTACTCTCCTCTGACTGCAGACTCAATGTTGTGATTTCTGAATTATTAGTATCATCTATAATTATTTGACTACTATTTTCATTTGAAGTAATGTTCTCTATTTGGGACATTGATTCCATTTGTTTGTGCATGTTTACCTTTTCTGGTTTATCAAACATTATCAAAGTATCATCATCATCATCATCATATTGTATTTTTTCACATTCAGAAATTGATTCCAACTTTTCTTCTACAGTTCTGAAAATTATAATTATTATATAAAAATTATTATATAAAAACTATATTAGATATATTAAAACACAAATATTTAAATATATAAAAAAATTAGTTACTTTTCACTTAATTTTGGCGTAGTACAAAATTTATTTTTAATAGATCTTGATTTCAATTGCTTTGGCGTATCATCTTTTTTCAACTCAGACATTAAATCTCCCAAAATATTATCATCATTCAATTTAGCACCAGTTTTCTTTTTGGAAGACATATTTATTAACATATTTTGAATGTTTCCTTTCTTTTTAGCATCATCTTTTTTACTTTTTCTAGGACCCACAACTTTATGCTTTCTTGCTTCTTGTATACTTTTATCATCCAAGTCATCGTCAAAAATTTCTCTACCATCTTCAATATAACCACTTTCTCCTTTTGCAACAAAGAATTGTTTTGTAATAGTTATCCAAAGAAAAACAAAAAAATTAATTTGCTATTTAGGTTTATTACTACAATAAGAGTTTTAAAGTTATTACCATCATCAACAATCCAATCATCATTTTGCCTTTCTATCACAGTTTTAGTATACTCTTTCTCATCGACTTCTTCATAAACATTTTCTAATTCATCTATTTCATACTTATGTTTACTACCTTTTAATTGCTTCAATTTTTCTAAAGCTGACAACCTTCCAGTTTTATCAATCTTCTGGCGTTTAGTTCTACCTGCTAAATTTATGAATAACACAATTTAATAAACCTTTATAAATTTAATTTTATATTGAAATTTTATTCGTAATTTTTTTATAATAATATTTTTGAACAACGAAGCCATATTTAATATATTTAATAAGCATTTGAGAACAGAACAAATTCAAATTTAATTGATAATTAAACGATAGAAGTAATGAAATACAAGTCCAATTTTAAAATCGTAGAAATAAAGTTAAAATATAATCGGAAACGCTTACATTGTGTGTCACTCATATTTTTCGAAAATAAATTCTTGGTGTGGAATGTTAAAAAGAGTCGTAATACAGTTCAATTTAGATTCTAGACAACAAAGTCAAAGAACATTCGCACATGGAAGAAAATAAAAACGCCTGAACGAGAATTTAATGGCAGAAAATTGTCACTTTTGGCGGGAGTTACATTGAAATCGATAAATTCCTAGTTATCGATTACTCTCGATTGGCACAATTGCAACTTTCGTATAGGGCATTTATTGTCAACTTCACGTGACGAGTTTGTGTTCAACGATCGAAAAGTTGCAAGAAGGTAATTATTCGAGCATTAAAAGAGGTGTTCCTTTTCTTTTTGCACGCAAAACAATTTATTGCAATAGTTACTATTAATAAACATAGTTTATGGTACATAATTACTTTTAGTTCGTTATTATTACACGACGTTTAAGTTGTACGTCTTTTGTGTCGTCATTGTACAGTACTTTAAAATTATCAAACATATGCAGTTTATTGCTACAATCACCAGGCTATTTATCATTATAAATTAATAAAGATAAGAAGTTCTCAAACTTTCGTTCTTTACAGTGAAATATAAATTTGCATTTTCTTCTTTTTTTCCATTTATTACGTTTTATTTTTAATTTTCCGTAGTAAGAATATAAAATAAGTCATATAAATTATTTATTATATTTTGTAAGTTAACAAATTTAGTAAAAAAAAGAATGTGAAAAAGTACAGGTCTGAATTTTGTTTTTAATTATTTTAGTTATAATGTCAAAAGCACATAGTCCTACTGTTTTTAATGGAGAGGCTGACAATTTTTATGACCCAAATTTTACTTTGGACATTAACAAAAGGATGCGTGTACCAAAAAGCATTCGTGTAAGTGGCGACTACACGGATGAAGAAATAGCAGATACAAATGGTTCTGGATGGAATCAGGTGGTTGCAGCAGAGAAATTCGAAATGCATGTTCCAGATAGAATTTTGGTTGTTGGTAAATATATAATTTTTTACCACATATTAATGTATGCATTCATTAATTGTTATATAACTAAGTTGGTTTCTTCATTAAAAATATATTTTGTAAAGTTATTGCTTATATATAAGAATGAAAGTGATGTTATATATAATTAAATAAATTTAGGACAAGAACAACATGTTGGAACTAAAGCACCACCAAGAGAAATTACATTAGAAAATGCTGTTTTGCCATCTGAGCCAGGCATGGTTAGGGTACAGGTAAATATTTGAAAGTTTTGAATGGAGCTAAATGTATGTGTATTTCAAAAAATCATTCTTGGATTCGATTTTATTCTGAAATATGTATGAAATACTTTGCAACTTTTTTAATATATTGGTAGACTCCACCAAGGATTTTGACATTGGATAACCATTATTTTCCGGCAGCTGATGAAGAACTAAATTCATACTCAACAGAAACTAAGGAATCAGTAGTATCTAAACCACAATATTCTACAGAAACACAAATAGTTAGGCATGCTAGGTAATAACTAGTAATAATAACTAATACTTTTTAATCCATATATATAAAATTATATACACCAAGTAGACCAATAACTGATTTTAATTATTTCTGTTATTTTTAGAAATATGAAAAGACTTGTAGTATGACTTATAGTATGAGGAAAGTCATAATGTGTATTTTTTTTTTCTTTTGTAATGTTTTCAAACATTTCAAGGATATCCTTACTTTTTATATACTATACCTCTCTATGTTTTAAAATAACAAATGTTTCAATAATTTCAACTATCTCATTAATAATTTAGTATAAAAAAAACTAAAATACGTCATAATAGATATTACAAATACATTTGTATCGATATAATATTGTAATCAGTAATTATTTAAAATCTGGAAACTTGTCATTTTATGAAACATGGAATAATTAAAGCTATTGGTCCATTCTCTATATTACCCTCTTTTTGAGAATGTATAATTTTTTTCTAGAGAACAAACACCCTTATATAACGCACTTAATGTTTCTCTTCCACCTAATGAAGAGATACAACATTTACGTCGACAAGTAGGAAAATTAAATCGTCGAGTAATGGCTATCGAACTCGAAATGTTGCAACGTCAACAAAGAGAAAAAATCATATATGCGTTAACATTGACGTATTTAATTCTTAAAGCTTTCTCATGGTTAACAAGAAACTGAATCTGTGTTAAGAAAATACAAAAGATTTGCACCTTGTGTGACAAATGGTGCTGTTCGTCTATACAAATACAAGATATTCTGCAAGAGTCTCCCTTATTGCAAAAGAAAGTTTATAACCAAAGACTTTATCTTGAATGTGACATTGTAACATGTTCAAAGTAAATGTCTGTATCGTATATATTCAAAACTAAATTACTTCTGACATTTGCATGAAAGTATTATAATAAATTTTTAAATATCTAACTGATAAAATTTAACATTTGTTATATTTATATCTTTTTTATTATTTACAATGAATTGAAACTCTTCCCTAATACATATAAGAAAATTGAATATATACGATACTATTTTCCTTAAAATAGTTGAATTTGAATGTTTAATAAGTATGTTTGTAAAAAGTAATTTGCATGATCAAATAAGCAGAGCATTAAGTTAATGATCTATTAAAGAATCCATTTTACACGATTGTAATTGTTTAATAATAATAAACTGAAAACAGGTATTAAATATAATTACAGTATATAATAGATAATTGTATATTTGTAAAAGTAAAGAAAATAATGTTGCAAGATTCTACATATTGAAATTGAAATTAGTTTTAATTTCTATTTTTTCTTTTACTTTTTTTAATTATGTATGATTAAGAATATTACATTGTAGTGATATACTGATAAAATTATTCAAATCGACTATTATAAATATGTATTTAGAGTAATTCTATGTTTGTATTTTTTGTGGCCATGATATTCATTGTATATTTATATGTTATAAATATACTGAAATAAAATAAATAATAAATATATAATAATTTTCTTTGATTAGAATAAATATCTTGAAGCTATCACAGTTCATATATTTAAAGATTCTTATAAAGCTTGTACTTTGAAGATTTTTCCAAGAAGGATTAACAAATATTGAAACATATTAAAGTTTGATGTATCAACTTTTTATTTAGCTCACTAAATATACTAATATTTCCAGCAGATATCTATTAATACATTATATATATATAATAATACATGAATCAAATAACAATATATTTCTTATATTTATGTGTTACTTACTATAAGATATTAACTAGTTAAAATATTGCAGTATTATATTGCAAATTATAATTACAAAATAAATCACTGTCTCAATTAATTGAAATATTATTATAATTATTATTTATCATAATACAAACTGAAATCTTATTAAAATATTTTATTTTTGTATATTCAAATGTGTGCTATTGAAGTAAATATAATTTACATCAAATTTAAATCAAAAGAAGATTTTAAAAATTAATCAATATTTTAATAACTATATTAGTATAAAGTATTTCTTTATATATATATACACACACACACACATATATATATATAATTATATAAATATATATATATTTATATAATTAAAAACATACCTAGTTTTATAACAAATTAATGATTATTTTTTATTACATATTAAAAAATAAAACTTATTATGGCATTAATTTCATTTATTATCAACAATGGCCAATAAAATATTTTTAATTTTATATTAACAAGTCAAATATAATATAATTATTATAAGAAAAAAATTACTAAATTGTACTCTAGTTTGTACCATAATGGCAGAAATATTAAATGAAATTCTGTCAAAATATTAGCGTCGTATGTAAAGTTTCTCCTATATAATTCATATATAACATATAAATATAAACATTATATTATATTTTATTGTGTATTGCAGGAATTAATTCCTAATTCATATGAACTAGATTTATCAGATACGACCATACTCAACATTGATTCTCTAGGTCTAATCATCATAGCAGAAACTAGTAAATATCGAGATGAAAGAACGTCGTTTATACCTTGCAGCAGAAAAGAATATCTAGTAAGTCTATAAGACACGAATAAGAAATAATAGAAAGAGAATATTTCTTTTTAATATTTAATCTAATCTGATCGTACGAGATTGTAGAAAAACACGTCCACCGAAATAATCATATAGGGACCTTATTGTCGCGAATGTTAGACAATCTGTTAATACATACGAGAGGTCAGTGCACGTCACGTAGTTATTATTCGGAGTTGAGAATTTTGTGGAAATTTATCTGTCTGGAAGTGCAGCGAGAAAGGATTCCTAATCCCTGAGACTCTCTCGCGGCAAGACATTACGGGAAGATACGCGGAGGTCTCAGGTTTAGCGAATATTAAAGTTGAAGGACTCCTTTGCAGAAAAGTGTGCGCGTACTTCGAATGGTATAACGGTGGTCGTATGTAATTGTGGTATTACGTTTAAAAACTTTATTTTATTAAGGCACAGCCGTCTGTTCGGCGTCTGTGAAGAGCAGACCGAGTGTGTGACAGGTTATGTCAACTGGATTGGCAGGTGCTGTTTCAAATCAGGTCAGTGTGTTGACTTGCTACCACACCGCTATACTGCAGATACCTTTCACTGAAGACAGCCATTCTAAATTTTGTATATTTTTCCATGCAACGGAATGCAGCGGATGAAAGGACAAACCAATAATCAAGGTGAGACTTTGTATTCTCTTGCGATTTTTAAAATGTTCCCTAATTGCTAAATGCGTCTCCTAAGAGAGCACGAGCCGTCTCTTGTAAAAAAAATTACTCGAGCGAGCACATAGGTTTTTTTTATCCGTTAAAATACACCTACTCCGGGGTTTATGTCTGTTGTGTATAATTTTGTCGACGCTCGTTGGTGCCATGGTAAGTTAACGTGCGTGCATAATTTTTTAAACTAATACCAAATGTTGTTATCTATATTTTTAGCAGATCTCTATATAGATATATATACATAGTGCGTTAACCTATTTGTATGTTTCGATATATTCCGAGTATGTTAGGTTATCATTAAAATTATTTCATGCTATTTACCTTCAATAAATTTAGAATTATGTTTTCTTCTTCTTTTCTTCTTTTTTTTTTCTTATGTAATTTGAAATACTTGTAGAAATCTTAAAAAATAATACGTTCTTTCGTATTATTTCGGTAACATCGATACGACAGATGAAATTATTAAAAATATTACATAATTTCGCGGAAAATTGCTATCAATTTATAGTAATTTGTCCAAATATCGTACTAGTTATAATTATTGTAATTAGTTATAAGTAACTAGTTATAATTATTGTAATTACTATTGTAATTAATGTTTCCCTATAATATTTAAAATCTTGAAACACCACATCACTTTCAATTGGATAATAAAATTTTCCTACTGAAAGATGAAAGTATTTTTTTTATGTAGTTTGTATGTAATTCTGATCAACTTCGATGTATTCAAATTTTTAATGCACAATTGTTTTTAATTGTTTGAAAAGAATTTCTATAAATTGAGATTTTAAAAATTTTTATTAAAAAAGAATTTTTTAATAAGAATATATAATTATACCGTATGATCATATGATTTTAAATTCTGAGTCATGAAAGTGTTTTGTTTTATAACTTGTGTTTTCTTTATGGCATTTAATTGTTAAATGCAAATAATTCTAATAATATACCGGGATATTTAATTTCAATGAAAGACATTTGTTCAAACTAAATTAGAGAATTAGTTGTAGATTGTACTATCAAAAAGTTTATTATATATATATATTAATGAAATAAAATTTCATCTTGGTAGTGAGCAATGGTCCTAAAGAACACCAGCAGCAACCACAGACAGAACATGCTGGTGGAGAAGATACTGGATTTGACTCATGGAGAGGAGGCAATAGTACCCATCATTCTAGTTATCCAATTGGAACTGGTGATCCATATAGCCCTTATTATGCAGGTACTTCATTCCCTTATCAAACATTTGGTGCTGGGGATGGTACTTGGTCAAATGGAACAGATCCCGTTGCATTTCTTTCTGGCTATGGAGGTCAAATAGGTCACGATGCATACGGCATGGATGGAATGTTTTCTGCTAGTGCAGGAGGTGGTTTTAGTACATTTGGTCAGCCTGCTTTTAATTATTTTCATGGGAATGGTGATTTTAGTGCTTGGAGCACTCCAAGAAAAACACGCTATGAAGATTATTACCAGGCACCACGTGGAAATGAAAATTATCCAACACCTAGCAATGCAGAAATTAAGACTATTGAACAAAGTGTACAAGGCTTGTCATTAGGAAGTGGAGAAGTACCACGACAAGATCAGCAAACATCATCTAATCAATCAATAAAACCAGAAACGAAGGAACCCAGAAAGATAACATGGGCCAGCGTTGCAAGTCAACCTGCAAAGCCTGTCCCACCACTTTCATCTTCTCAAGGAATGAAGAAAAAGGCTGGAATGCCACCACCACCTATTGTGCCAGGAAAGCATAATATGGACATTGGAACATGGGGTGAAGGTAAATCTTCTGCACCACCTCCAACAGCACCACCACCACCACAGGTACAACCTCCTGTTCCACCTCCTCCACCATTGGCTCAGAGACAGAGACCTCCTCCTCCTCCACCATGTTGGAATAGACAACCTACAACACCTCCATTGCCTCCGCAATCACAGATTCATATGCCCCCACAACCACAGCATCAACACCAACAACAGCAGCAGCAGCAACAACAGCAACAGCAGCCACAGCAACTGCAGCCACAACAACAACAAATTACACAATCACAATCACATCCTGTTTTAGACGAGCTGAAAGTGAAAAATGATTATAATCCTGTAGAATTTGATGAAACTGCTCCTGGAGCTAGGTTTTTTGTAATCAAGTCTTACTCTGAGGATGATATTCATAGATCCATTAAATATGAAATTTGGTGCAGTACTGAACATGGTAATAAAAGGTTGGATCAAGCATATAAAGAAGCTAGCCGTGAAGGTGCCCCTTTATATTTGTTCTTTTCTGTCAATGGATCTGGTCACTTTTGTGGTATGGCACAAATGGTGTCACCTGTTGATTATAAGAGCAATAGCTCTGTATGGTCGCAAGATAAATGGAAAGGTCAATTTCGCGTACGTTGGATTTATGTTAAAGATGTTCCTAATGTGCAACTTCGTCACATTAGATTAGAAAACAATGAAAATAAACCAGTGACTAATTCAAGGGATGCACAGGAAGTCCCTCATGCAAAAGGCGTAACAGTGCTACGTATATTGCATACTTATCGGCATTCAACTAGTATTTTTGATGACTTTGGACATTATGAGCGTAAACAAGCAGAAGAAGATCAACGTAAGGCTCCGTCAAATGCTATACAACATCATCATTCTGCCAATCATAGAAATAGAGGACATTCGGACTTGTCAAGGGATCATCATCCTCATCAATCGCATTTACATCATCAACGCAAAGTAAATAATAGCATTACAATATTATAATTGCTATATAAATATTATAAGTAAAATTCAAAATTAATTGAGATAACATGTTTTAAATAGTAATATATTTGTTTGTATAGGATCGAGATGGTGGTCGTGGTAGAGGCAGAGGAGGTTCACGCCAGTAGCGATGGATACAACAATATAATACTGTTCATAATAGTAATCATCGTAAAGAAAGCACGCTACGACTAATTATCGTCTTACTACTTATCTTTGCTTTCTTGGATACACAAGGCTTCTAATTCCTGTGACAAACTTGTCATCATTGAGACTATTTCCTTCTGTTAAATAATCAACATTGTATGATAATTAGCGTTGCGTCGACATCATAAATATTATCTAATCATAACTACTATGAAGAGGAACGTAATACAATTTCAAGGGATATTGGGTAACCTTGCTGACAGTTGTAAGCATATAGTGTGGTGTTGCGTGCTATTCATCGAAAGGTGTTTCTTAAACGTACAAATTAAAAATGAAATAAAAAATAAAATATGGAACAGAAGAAAAACTGTAATATATGGACGAACCCTTGTAAAATGCTTAAACTTTTGTTGATAATGAAAAAAATCTATGCGAGAACAATATTGTAAGCAAGTGTCATTTAAATCAATTACTATTTTAAATTTTGATGGACATATAACCTGGTGCCTGTGGCTGAAAGGACTCACCTTTCTTTGTTATAAAGGTGCAAGGGCTTATTACATTTTAAGTTTACGTGTAACAATTATGCTTGATCATTGGATAATAATAGAAATTATTATCAACTGATTATTTTATGCATATTCTATATCTATTGCAAATTATATATATTATATATATATATGTATATATATAATTCTAATATATATATATTATATATGCTATGTATGATTACTATATATAATATATATAATATAATCATATATATATATGTGTATATATATATTATCTATTATTATATTATTCATGGACTGCAAAAATGTTCTAAAATAATATGGCAAAAAAATAATATAGTTGCTCTATAGTAACATATATGGTAATGATTATTGTACTATTTTATGAAAATTTCATAAGATATGAGTCTTATTGTTAAAATTGACTGTTACTTTATTTTATTTTAATGTTTGATACATTTTTTGTCATGATTTCATTATTTTATAAATTCAAGTTGTTTTTATTGAAATAGAAATTTTGTGTTTTTGTATAGTTAAAAAAAAGAAATATGTATACTTTTTCATGCCCATTAAGAAAAAAAGATCCTTTAGCAGTAATATCAGTAAATTTAAACAATTTTTCACAAATTATATGTAGAAAATTGAACACTAATATAACAAAAATTGCTTAACTATGTGGATTTAGTAAACTAAAATATATAAAATAATAGATTTTATCTTAGATTTGATTACTTTGCTGGTAGTTATGTATACACATTTACATACATATATAGTTACATGTAGAAATTAATTTGTAGAAAGAAGCAGTAAAATGATAAAATCTTGTTTGTTAATTTTTATAGAAACGAAATTACTATTTCATTGCAAATTAATATCATTTTACTATATTAAATTTCGTATAATTCAATCATGGAATAATGATATCAAATTTTTAGTTTATTAAAAAATTTGTACAAAATTAATCATTGCAGATTTTTTTTATCTAATATATAGATTATTGTAATTACTTTTGAAATCACAATTAAAAATGAAAGAGAATGTACATCATAAGAATCATATACATATAAATCTCTTTTCTTGTTTCTATATTGTAAAAAAAAACTCATTTTATTAAAGTACTATATATAACTCATTTTATTAAAGTATTAAAAATTTGTAGCCAATGTTTCCGAATTATTTTAAATCTGCTTAGAAATGTTTGAATTCCAAAGTTTATCTAAACTTTTATTTTATAATTAATATAGCACATGCTAATGTATACCCTGTATATCTGCATGTTATATTGTAATGTGCAGACATACAAATAGTATACTTGTAATATACTACATTGTTTAGTAATTACATTGTATCATCATACTTGATTAAATGTTGAATTGAACCACGAATTTAACATGCAAATTGAACTATTACAAAATATCATATATGCAGGCAATGATTTTTCTATGGATACGGATTCGATTTAGTTTTGATTTAATTTCTGTAACTTAAAAAAAAGATTGGTAATTGCGTTCAACGTAATATGTCGATATTTTATAATTATGTATCGATAAATATTATCAAATTATTTAAATTTTAAATTGTAGTAAATTAATGTATATTTGTAAATTTGTTGAAAATATTGTGTTGAACGAAATTACTGATCAAAAATAATGTTCCTTTATCATCATTCTACCCAATTATTCTATTTTATTTGCTTTTCTACTTTATTTTCAGTAAATATCTTTGGATCTTCATATTGATGAAACAATTGTGTTGGATCTTTTATTAAATCTCGACAAAGCTCTTCTGGTGGTGGGGTACGTGGTCGTAATTCACCGTGTTCTCCCTCATATCTACATTTAGCTTGAGCTTCAAAATCTCTTACACATTGTTTCATATCAATATTTTTTTCAACAGTCGCTTCATCAGGTTCTAACGACTGTAATTTTGTCTCTTCTCTATCCTGTATTTTTTTCGTTTCTACCATTATATCATCGAAAAGCAAATTCTGTTTAACTAGATAATTGCGAATATTATTCCGCACTTCTTGTGGAAACTTTTCAGGATTTGCCTCAATGTAACGATATACAAAGAGGTCAGCGCCAGTTATGATGAAATAATGATTAAAAATATTAATTTTTGCACCGATATAAAAATCTTGAGGAGTATAATATTCTGAATTATCTCTTCCAGTTTTTGGTTTCGCAACCAGTGTTGCCTTTAGGAAGCAACCCTCGCGACGTCCTGAATTACGTTTTTCAAGTTCTTGTACGAGTATCGTACCATCGCTTAAATTATATTCTAAAATGAAATCGCGGTTTTCATCCTCTGGATGTACCACATCCATTTTCATAGAATAACGTAATTTTTTAGGGAAATTAAGAAGCTGTCGAACGACATCTTTCTTAGGTCGTTTCGGCATAAATGACAGACAAGAAACGTAAGTATCTTCAGGTGTACCAAAAATTATATGCGGTGGTAGTTTATATTCCGGTGCCGTTACAACATCTTTTGTTGGAAGAGGAATTCTTTCCGGTTGCGTTATTCCTAACATGTCTGAATAATATTTTCGTGTGAAAGAATCACTATCATGCAAAAAGAATTGTCGACCAAATATAAAAATTGTATCACCTATCTGCAATTAAAAATGAAAACAAAAATACACAAATAGGAGCATGTAGTTGTAACATATGGATATATAATGTATACTTATAAATTATGTATAAACTAACTAAAAAATCTTTTGGTGTATAGTATTCAACAATCTCTGGATCACCATATTCCATATATGCAGCAGGATAAGTTGATGGTAAATTTTTCCAGTCCTTTGGCACTTTCATTCTTTTTAATAGCATTGGTACTGGATCTTTCCCACTATTAGGTTTTTGTACTTCACGAATGGCTATCGTATCGTCCGTTAAGAAATACATAATCCGATAAATGTCGTTGTTCCAAGTTGCAGTAAACAATAATACCATTTTATCATATTCTAGAAATCGTCGTCTAACATCGTCTGGAATTTTTGTAACGCAAATTGATGTTCTTTGCTTGTTTGTTCTTAATTCTGTATAAGGATCTATAGGAGGTTCTTCTTTATCTCCAACATCTATACCCTGGCTATTTAAATACTCTCTGGTAAATAAATCACAATCGATAATATGATAAACTACACCGTAAATACCTGCAAATTCATAATAAAGTAATATGTTGATGTATTTTAAAATTATAAAAATTAAATCCATCTTTTATTAATAGATATCTGCAGATACTACAATCATAGTAAAGATATTTATTAAACTTACATATGTCAATTCCAATGTTAAAATCTTTCCAATGAAATGTCTCGCCATTTGTGTTTTTCACAATTTTATTACGTCTAACAAGCTTTCCTTGCTGAAAGCCGGCATTATCAATTGTAGGTTCAATTACGCATACAGTATTATCCTCCAAATAATATATTATATTAACGTAACGTATACGAAAATGTTCATCCGGAGAGTTAAAAACTCCTTGACGAAAAAATGCTTTAAAACAAAGACATTTTTGCGCAAATAGCACATAATGTGGAATAAATTGTCGATATGCATACTCCTTTACACGTCCATATGTTAATGATGAATCATAACTAAATATTAATTAATATAATTGACATATCATAAAAAAGATTGAAAACTGACATAAAATTTAAAAAAAAAAGAACAAATTAAATATTAAAATTTATATGTTACATTGATTTATCACTTACTGTACAGAATCCTCTTCTTTTACATATGCACTAGATGCTAGATCTATTGGTCGTCCTCCAATACCACTGTGACTATCACGTAATACACGATAACCATTTAAAAAATGAAATTTCTGTAATAACTTGTAGTCGTTGACCTTTAAAAAAAGATACATTCTTTCTTAATTTTATTGGTTTAAATATAATAGTTATAACAATTAAGTTGAATAGTTTTTCTGACTTACATTTGGATCCTGAAATGTATAGCCCGGTATAAGCGGTAGTTTTTCCATATTAAATTTTAAATCGTTTAATAAAAAATATACTTTCAAAAGACATTTCTATAGAGTATTAAACCTGCGATTGCTAAAACAATTGTTTGAATTGGTTTCTATAACAACGCTATCTTGTATTGATATAACAATATTTCAACTATAACATTATATAATTAAATACGTAATGTATTTATGAATAAAAAATAACTAAGTCAATTCATATTTGATCATTTATTTTCGCATAAATTATTGACAACAGTAGCATTGGATGGTTTTCACTAAAATGGATTAGTTGCCCTGACAGTTAAGTCACAAACTAATTATTTCCTTAAAGATAGCCATACATCCTGCAGATAAGCAGCCAGCCACTGGCACAGTAATTAACCATGCAAATGCAATATTACGAAATAATTTCCATGAAACTCCCTCACCACCACGCGAAGCCCACCCCACACAAACAACAGATCCCACTTTGCAATGAGTTGTTGACACAGGTAAACCAGCCTTACTTGCCAACAAAACAGTTACTGCTGCTCCTACCTATAATTTATATATTAAAATAAATATTATCCCTTTTGAAGCATTATAATTTTTTATTTATAAAATGTGTACCTCTATAGTAAATCCTGTAGTTGGTGTAATACGTGCTAAATCTTGTCCTAGAGTTTGTATTACTTTACGTCCCCATACCCAAAGACCAGTTGATATTCCTAAACCACCATAAAGTAATATAAGCAATGGAGTTTCTGCCTCTTGCCTAGCTGATCCCTCTGCATATACAGCCCAAAGTGCAATAAGTGGACCAATTGCATTACTAACATCATTGCCACCATGAGCAAAACTGCCAAATGCTGCAGTTAATACTTGCAAAAAAGCAAAGAGTCTAGATATTTCTGGTGGCTCCTCATTTTTCCTTTCAATTTCAGTTTGAGCACCCTCGACATCTGATCCTGCTACCATTAAAAGAGGACTTGCGCTGCTATTACCGCGTAATTTTGGTGCTGCTTCTTTTGCATTACCATTACTATTACTACTACATGGGGCTTCAGAAATAACAGATAATGCTGTTGTTTCTTTTTTATCACAGGTACCGAAGTTAGTTGTTTTTTCATTACTACTCAATGAAAGTAGTATCCTTTTTCTTTGCCATGGTACAACAAACAAATAAACAATGACAGCTGAAAATAAACCAAAACCTAATGCAGCTAAAATACTACCCCACCATGGCACTTGATCTAACATTAAAACTGAAATAAACATGAATGGGATATTAATAATATAACATATAAATACAACATTAATTTTGACTTAATTAAAACATATCAAATTCAATTACGTTTAGGTCCATCATGTGCAACTGATATAACATTAATAGCAACAGTGAGTCCATATGCTACTGGGAGAATATTAAGACCTTGTTCTAAAGGCTTACTAGATTGAAGTACTGATTTCCTTAAAACCCAAAATATAGCACCTGATACAATTCCGCTAAGTATAGGACTTGCAAACCAAGACGCTGCTATGTTTGCAAGAGCTATCCACTTGACCTATAAATATGCTTATTTTATCTTGAAATGTGGCTTATTTATTTTTTAAATTAATATAATGATTTTACTAACCCCTGCAGTACCTTTACAGACAAGTGAAAAACCAACTGTAGCACCAACAATGGAATGTGTTCCAGAAATAGGTAATCGTAATGCTGTTGCTAGTAAGAGCCAGATACCGGATCCAGCTAAACTAGACAATGCTCCCACCATTAATTCTTTTTCATGACCTTCGTATAATGTTACATCTAATATACCCTTTCTCATAGTATCAGAAACCTAAAATATCATCAGTTAATATAATTTATACAACATAGTATGAAGATTTTCAAGATACCTTATAGCCAATGAGTACAGCCCCTGCAATTTCAAAAACAGTTGCCAAAATACAAGCTTGAAATATTGTAAGCACTCCTGCACCAACACTAGTTCCAAAACTATTTGCAACATCATTCGCTCCGATTCCAAATGCCAAAATAAAGGCCACTAAGAATCCAACCACTACTATCCATACCAAGTTTTCATCATATGGTATGCTCATTTTTATTCGCTCATTAACTATTTTTTTGAGCTATTGGTATGTAAATATTTTTACTTTTATACATTTGTCAGTAGATCATTGTGTTAAAATGTCCTCTTGTCATATTATTTGTTGATAATACATTATTAAGCAAGAGAATGTGGATTAAGGAAGAGCTTCCAATTTTCTATTATGCATTTACATATAAATACTTATAATTCAGAATATATTTCTCCATTTATATTTATATTCCTATACATGTGTAGTG